ATGTAACTGACCTTGTTTTTATTGGTGCATGTGATTCAAGGATATTGCAGAGGTTTAAGTTGTAACTGTGAACAGATTCGTTTACTGAGGTGTGATGTTTAACTGATAGAATATTCTGAATGTCCTGATTAAAGCTGATGGGGTCTACAGCTTTTAAATTTCTGAAATGGATGTGATGTTTTGGCTTACTGATTGTGTCTTTTAGTGGCAGTTCCATGGAGACAACACTATGGTCAGACACACCTAAATCATAAACCTGTAAGTTTGTAATGGCGGGAGTGTCTGTAATGACCAAATCTAGGGTACGACCTGTGTGTGTAGGAACTGTGACGTGTTGAGTAAGATGTAAGCAATCTAGTACATCCAGAAACTCAACTGCAGAACGGTTTGTGGGACAATCTACATGCAGATTAAAATCACCCATAATAAGTGTATAATGTGACATTGCACAGAGTGATGTAAGAAAGTCTTGCATTTCAGAGATGAATCCAAGTTGTGGTTTTGAAGGACAATAGATTAGAAGCATGGTAATTGCTTCTTTTTGTGGTCTGCATCTAAAGAGCAGACATTCAAAAGTTTTTGGCTCTTGCATTGGGAGGGGGATTACAATTAAGTTGCTTTGATGGATAACAGCTAGCCCCCCACCACGGCCGCTGGTCCTAGCCTTCTCCAGATATGTATACCCTGGTGGGCAGGCTTCATTTAGTGACAGATATGAATCTGGTTTGTGCCAGGTCTCAATGAGGCACATCAGATCAAATTTTTTGTCAATAATATGATCCAGGATTAGACTACTCTTATTTGCCAATGACTGGGTGTTGAAGAGCTCTATTTTTAATTAGCTTATTATCTTACATTTTGGGAGAGAGCGGAGAAGGCTGAAATCTACTCCACGTTTTCCAAGACGCCGATATTTTACTTCCTTGTGTGCTCTTTTATTAAGCTTTGTTGTTATCGTGCTCTGATGACATAGCACATATCGCGTTGGGTGAACGCTGCAAAACTGCAGCCGGTGGAGCATTAGCCCTGTTGATGCAGATGGAGGCCCGGGCAGCTAAGGTGGATGCCCAGCCGGCCAAGTCAGAGGCCCAGGCGGCAAAGGTGGAGGTCCGGGCAGCGGAGGTGGAGGCCTGGGTGGCAGAGGTGGAGGCCCGCCCGACCAAGTCAGGGGCCCAGGTTGCAAAGGTGGAGGCCTGGGGAGCAGAGGTGAAGACCAAGCTGGTCGAGAAAGAGGCCCGAGCAGCAGAGGTGAAGGCCCAGGTAACAGAGGGAGGGGCCCAGGAAGCAGAGGTGGAAGTCTATGTGGCAGAAGTGGAGGTCCATCAGGCAGAGGTGAAGGCCCTGGTAGAGATCCAGGCGGCAGAGGTGGAGGCCTGGGCAATAGAAGTGAGGGTCCATGTGGCCAAAGAGGAGGTTCAGGCAGTACATATTGAGGCCCAAGTAGCAGGGGTAAAGGCCTATGCAGCAGAGGTGAAGGCCCACTCAGCAGAGGCGGGGGCCCATGCAGCAGAGGTGGAGGTCCATACCACTGAGGTGGAGGCCCATGCAGCTGAGGTGGAGGCCCATGCAGTGGTGGTGGAGGCCTATGCAGCAAAGGTGAGGGCCCAGGCAACAGAGGTGGAGGTCCAGCCAAACAGGGTGCTGATCCAGCGAGCAGAAGTGGAAGTCCAGCCAACAAAGGTGAAGACCCAGCCAACAGAGACTGTGGCCCAGCTGGCAATGGTGATTGCCTGGCTAGTAGATGTAAACAACCCGAAAGCAGAGGTAGAGGTCCAGCTAGTGGAAGTGGAGGCCTAGCTGGTAGTGGTGCTAATACCAGTTGCAGAGGTTGAGGCCCAGGGTTTAGTTCAACATCCCCAGCCAAGAGAAGCATCAGCATGAGATTAAAAACACCAAGAAGCGGTCTACCTGTGAAGGCTTATTCCTGTTTATCTTGGGGTGGTCTGGCATGGCCATAGTCCAGTATTCTAGTGTACAGCATATGCTGACTCCATCTGGCTGGATACAGGGTTTGACTGCTAATTTTTCTTGGACATGCTGAGGTCAACAGAAGATAGAGTGTTATCCACACCACAGAGCAGGACTTTGATAGTACAATCCAAGGTCCTTCACGCTTTTTAGATGACTTTTCCAGCAAACACACAGGACCTGTCAAGCTGTGTGTCAGCACCTCGGCAGCCATTTTGTTTCTTTGATGAAATGTAAGTTATGTTTGTGAGCCGTTCCTTAAACCTGGAATTGAGACACTTGGATTCGATTAAACCCTGCCTCCCCTCTGTGTGAATTCCACTGGCTGGTTAGGGTTAGACTGCAGTTTCATGCAGGCAAACATGCATTTTTGGGCTCTAGGCATTATTTAAAGTGCAGACTAGATGAGAAATTAATCACTTCTTTACAAATGTGGAAATTAATATCCCTGGGAGCTACACAGAGAAACTGGGTGTTAGTGTTTACAGTCCATAGAGCGAGGGATCCGGACTCTAGACTACCTGGATGGGGAGGAGCGGGGCATGATGACACAGCCATGCCCCATCCAGCTGGCTGCAATAGCTTAAGAAATTTGCAGAGTAGAAGTGAAGAAGCAGCTGAGACAGGAAAATGCATGCATGAAGCCAAAAACCACTTTAGGGGTATTTTTCATGAGGAAATAAAAATATAACACGGTCAAAAGCCCCAGAAAGTCAATTTTGCATTATATAGTCCTTTTTAAAACATTTGTGGAAACTTTGATTAAAATGATTAACAGTAAAATATCATTTTGATGTGTTTCATTGACATTTTGTTGAATTCTTGTAAACTTTGGCAAGCAGCCGTCTGATAAAATTTATACTTTAAAACGTATTTTTTTCTTTAATGAAAATACGAATAGCTATTTGTTACAGAGAGATAGAAAACACAAAAGTCAAAAGCTCAGGCAGACACATCAAAAGGGAATAAACAAAGGCTTCTGACGCTGAGTGAACTCGTCAACAAGAGGAAAAGTCTTCGGTTAAAAACCACCCAGAGGTTCACGGACGTGGTCCAGCATCACTAGGAAACATCCTCACACAATGGTCGTAGTGAATGTATCTGTGTACGCACGCGCACACACACACACACACACACACACACACACACACACACACACACACACACTAGGGGTTGTATGAACTAGTCGACTAGTCGACCTCACGGCTCTATAGTGAGTTTTTATGCCTGTCATGGACTAGTCGCTGTCACGTGATAATGACTGACAAGATGCAGTACTCGGAAAAGACAGCAGGTGATAAGCCCCTGCGTCGGGAGGCAGAGGCGACGCGCTGTGCCAGAGCGTCGGTACTGACACCAGCGGTAAAACGGACATTAAACCAAAATTGTGTCCTTTTTGCAATTTTACTTTCCCCTCACCCCCATCCTAATCTTAAGTCGACTAGTCGATTCATACAACCCCTAATCAGAAGTGAGGAACAGAAAATGGAATAATTATTGTACTGTTTAGAGCAGCAGGAACTCCGAGAGGCTGCAGGCGCACCAGTGAGTTTGGGGGGGGGGGGGGGGGGGGGGGGGGGGGGAGATGTGGGCACAATTTTAATTGTTAAAAACTCCAGCGAACCTACCCACCCCCCCCCCACCCCCACCCCCCGTGCCGCTTCAGGTGTATGACGTCATCAACGACTAGTCGAAGTTGACTCGATTTTCATTACTTCACTGTCGACTTTAAAAAAAATTATGTCATGCAACCCCTAACACACACACACACACACGCACGCACGCACGCGCACACACACACACACAGCTTGATGAATACATGAAAACTACGAATGCTGGAGAGACATTACTCACTCTGAGAAAACTGTGAAAGCATCGCTTTGAGGCAAAAACTGAAGCCAACATTTTCAACAGCTTGAGACAGGTAGTTTCTATGGCGCTTAGGCAGAACAAACAACAGTATTTAGATGGCAGATGTTAGCTAAAGATGTCTTTTTTCCTGTTCCTACTTAGAACGTCTTGTGGTGTATGGTAGCTCGGTGGGAGCACCCTTAGTTTAGTTGTACCTTCAGATACAAAGACAACAAAGGACTGTTCTGTTAACTTTGCTTCCATTCATGTTGCTGTTTTCTTTGTTTATTTAAACTTGTTTGGTAATTTATGTTTCTTCGTGTGTGTGTGTGTGTGTGTGTAATTATAGCTGAAACAGAACTCTCAGGTTGTAAATCACACACACACACACACACACACACACACACACACACACACACACACACACACACACACACACACACACACACACACACACACACACACACACACACACACACACACACCTATAGAGCCTGTGGCAGAAAGGTTAGGAAGCCAAAAGAACTCCTTAGTCAGCATAAAAACCCTCCATCAGGTGCAACGCCATACAAGTCTGGACTGACTCATCCTTCGCTCTGGCCTTGTTACTGATGATTCCTGACAGCTGTAGGTTTTACCGTCACAATCATCAACATTTGTCTCATTTTCAGGTCCGAGTTTTAACAACTGCTCCCAAAATATCTAGTTAGGAAGTTGCTTATGTTCTCTTTTCACTCTGTTCAGAAAGTATTTGCATCATTTACCCCAGGGCAAGATGCAGTCTGTTCCTCTCCTCAGTGTCGCCATAGTAATTACAGCCATCACGTTACCTGACTGTTTAGCATAGCATTAGTCACACCAGCTATGTGAGGCCCTGAGGCAACAAAAAACATTGTCTTCTAATTCCAGGATTAAGATGAAGATGTCGTAAACGAGACTGTTAGAAGAAAATGGCTGCTCATAATAACTGCTTGTGATTAAAGCAAATGATAAAGAATGATGGTGTAGGTGTGTTGGACATCTGTTCATTAACTAAAAGCAGGACATTTTTAAGAAGCTAAATTAAGGTGAGGATTAAAACCAGACAGGCTGCATGAGCTATAAACATCTGTTTTCTAAGAAGATGCTTCATTTGGACATGTGCACTCGCTTAAACGCACGTCTTTTTTCTCCCCCTTCAGAGGTGCACGGGACGGAAAATCCACCCACAAAAAGACCTCTGCTAGACACTCGCTTTTGGCATGAAATGGCCCGGAAACATCACCAGAATAACATTAATAACAGGATGAGGGGGAACTCACAGGAAGATCGAGTCCAGAGGGGGCCACAGGTTGGGAAATTAAGTTTTATTTATTTTTATCAGTAAATGATCTGTAACACGCATGTCTTGGGACAGCTGCTCGAGACAAAATTGAGAAAATGTGCAAATTTCCCTTTGAAATTACACTAAACGTGTGCTTTATGACACTTTTGTTTATTTTAAAATGAACTGACAAATTTTATGAAAATCAGGCAAATTTTCATGCTGGAATTAAGTCTTAATTATGTCGTAATTGATTTACTGTCCATTCTTAATTAATTCAAAATGTGTTTTTTTGATTCACCACACAGCTTCCAGACTCCAACAACATGAAAGTAAAACACATTTTACAAACTCACTTGGGAATGCTGCTGACAGCTTGTCTCCAACAGTCACAGATAATAGCTTTATTTCTATTTCCTCCTTCAGTTTTATTTTCCTACTTTGGTGCATGAAGCTTCTTGTTAGCCTCATCATTTTCTTTTCTTCACATAAAAATGTTTAATGTTATGGTTTTTGTGCAAAGCAGGTTGCAGGGAAAGGCTCAGTTTCATCCACTACAAGCCAGCTGTGGGCTTGTTACAGTAGTGCCATCCTCTGGGCATTTCATCTGCACAAAAACACATTACAGTTTTGGCCAATTGCTTGAATGCATTTTGCAAAACTTGGCTCATAAGAAAACTCTACACACAAGAAAATAAGACACAACACTGGGAAATAAACCATTCACATCTATGTCAAATTGAAACTCTGCATTCAAAACCTAACAATCCTTTGTCAAAATGAAACTCTAATGACAAAATTATACCCACTTGCATCATATGAATAAACTTTCAAATCAGCAGCAACACACTAGTCTAATTTATATAAAACACTGCAAGCTTTTGTTTCCATTGTTTTTATTCAGTTCCACAGAAGGCACGTTTCCACAACACCCAGAAATGTTTGTTTATTTTTGTAGTAAATTAGTATTAAGTATTAAGTAACAAGAAATACTAAATACTGTTTTTGTTTGAATGCTGTTAAGCATTCAAACAATTGTTTTCCTGTTTCTCTTTATTCTTCTGCTTCTTCTTATTCTGCTTCCGTACACTTTTTGAACCTCTTCTTCTCCTTCAAATTTTGAGCTATTGCAACAATTTTATACCAAAACGTTCAGCTCGTTAAGCTCTTTCCGGCTATTACTTTTGGCATATATAACTTTAAAATTTTTCGAGTTATTAGGCTTTTTCTGCGAAAATTTTCCCATTGAAATGAATGGGATTGGTCAATTTTCAGCAAATTCCTATCACTTTTTTGACCTCAAACTCTATAGGGTTCCTTTTAACTTAGAGACTTCATTCAAAGTTTAACAAACTCACAAGACTTTCCTGTTTAACATATTATAGAGGCTTTTTGATATCTTTTACGGTTTTTCTAAAATCGCAGGTAGAAGTTGAGGTACGACTTGAAATTTTCAGAAAAAATCACAAAAGTTATAATGGGGAAAGATAGGAGCAGTGACCCTCCCTTGCTCCATTTCTGGCGTTGTACCGAGAGAACCGTAGGTCCGCTTGAAATGAGACACACACTGGCTTACAGCTAACAAAAATACCTTCGTTTTGAGCTATAAGTCATGACTGTACTCCAAACATTGTGGTTGTACGGTTCATTTGTTTGAGAAAATTCAAATTTAAAAAAATGTCTCTCCCCACTCTAAACTGAAAATTCCGCACTCTAACTTTTGAACTTCACATCTTCTGTGAACAACTCTTTACTACCCCCAGACCGTTTGGACTACCAAAACAAATTATAACTCAAAAGTAGGAATTTTTGTCAGCTTTTCAGAATGGGTTTCATTTTATCTGTAAGTGTTACCGTTCTTTCGCTACAAGCCTCAGAAATAGGAGAGACCCAGCTTTTCTCTCATTGAAACCCATGTTAAAGGAGCAGAGATGTTCTCCTCTGATCGGCTTCAGACAGCTAAAATTTTCTTGTCATAGCTTCTAGACAATTCATGGTAGGCACATAAAAATACACACCGATGACCATCAAAGCCTTCTGCCGCTCACACTTTTTGAATTTTTCAAATCGGTGCAGTACTTTTCAAATGGTGATGAGAAGTTTGACAGGTCCAATTTCACTTCTGAAGGACAGATTTAAAGGCTTCTCTCATTAACAGGAGTACAGCTGCAGGCCTCCAACAGCCAGGGGGAAAAGGCGGGAAAACAGTGCTGCTCTCTGATTGGTTGAGAGTGTTCAACCATTTTCTGTCCAATCAGGATCCAGCACCCACACAAATGACACATCAAATCGACCAGTTTGGTCTCAGGAATCTTGTATTCAATTTTAAATGCATTATCTGTTACCATGGCAACACAAGGAACTACATATCACTTTAACCAAGGAATTAATATTAAAAAGCTGAATATTGAGCCAATAACAGACTCCTTTTTTTTTAATCTTTTTGAACTATCTGTACTTCAAACTAGAAACAAGTTCAATCTGATTGACCGTCAGAAGGTGGGAAAGTGCCCCGCTCCCACCCAGCCCCCTGATTGGTTGAGAGAGGTCAATCGTCTTCTGGCTTAATGGAATTACACACCCACACTTGTGAGACATCAAATCGATCGGCTAGGCCTAAGGAATCCATCCATCCAACCAACCATCCATCCATCCATCTATCCATCCAACCAACCCACCAACCAACCAACCATCAATCCATCCATCCAACCAACCAACCATCAATCCATCCATCCATCCAACCAACCATCAATCCGACCGACCGACCGACCGACCCCCCCACCCCCCCACCCTCCCTCCCTCCCTCCCACCCACCCTTAATCAATTTCCCTCTGGGATTAATAAAGTATTTTTGAATTGAATTGAATTGAAAACAAAACTAGCAGCATAGCTGACATTTTAACACTAGTCAGAAGGCAGGAAACGCCCCCTCCTCCTTCGCTGCTCTCTCATTGGCTGAGAGTTTTCAATTGTCTTCTGCCTAAAAGGAAATTTGCACCCACAGATGGTACATCAATTCAACCTGCTTGGTCCCAAGAGTCTTGTATTAACTTGATATTGTGTTCTGCGTTACCATGGCAACGTGCTTAACAACAACATTTAACAACATTTTAGACACAAATGTATAAACATACTTTAATATAGAAATGTTATTCAAAGTTTAAAAAAGTCATGTGACATTGTACATCGTTTTGAAAATGCAGACTCCTGTCATCTGTTACCATGGCAACTTAAGGAACTACAAATCACTTTAACCAATCTCATAGGAATGAATGTAAAAAGCAGAATATTGAAGCATTAACAGACTCCTGTTTTTGATCTTGTTGAACTGTTTGTACTTAAAACTAGAAATAAGTTCAATTTGATTGACTGTCAGAAGGTGGGAAAGTGCCCCGCTCCCTCCCAGCTCCCTGATTGGTTGAGAGAGGTCAATCATCTTCTGGCTAAATGGAATTACACACCTATGCATGTGAGACATCAAATCGATCGGCTTGGGCTAAGGAATCCATCCATCCATCGATCCATCCATCCAATAAACCATCTAACATCCATCCAACAATCCATCTGTTATTTCATTAATCCAACCATTCATCCATCTCATATCAAATATAAACATATGTTAATCTATCAGTTTCAGATATCAGCAAATATTTCTAAATTCACATTTCAGCCAATTGTAAAAATGTACCCGTTAAACTATTCTCATTCAAATGCCAGCTGTTTAACATTTCAAATTTCGAGTTTTTATAAATGTTCAAAGATTAAAGTTTTCTGCTGTTTAGCATTTTTTTATCCATTCTTCACCTATATTCTGAGCTTTATTACACTTGTTGGTGATTTTTGCTTCTAAATCTTTAAATTCATTCAGCTCACTTTGACAGTTTAGCTTAGTTTCAGCTTCACGCCAGCTATTCAGCAGCTTCAGCAATCCGTTTCTGAATTTGGCTTATGCTACTCATTTCACAGTTCAACTAAATATAAAAATGAAACTGTTAAACTACTCAAACAACAAGTGTTTAGACATTTTTGCTGTTCAGATTTTTAAATAATGTTCAGATTTCAGTTTTCTGCTGTTTAGGATTGTTTTGTCAGTTCTTCACTTTTTGTGCTTTATTTACATTTTGGTGCTTTTTGTTTCTAAATCTTTCAAAACATTCCGCTCATTTTAACAGTTTAGCTTAGTTTCAGCTTGAGCAATTAGTTTCTGAATTCAGCGTATGATGCTAATTAGACAGTTCAGCTAAATGTAAAAATTAAACTGTTAAACTAGTTAAACTAGTCCTACTGAAATAACAGGTGTTTAGACATTTTAGCTGTCCAATTTTTTTAAACAGTGTTCACAGATTTGAGTTTTCTGCTATTTAGGATTAGTTTTCGTGATTCTTCACTTACTTTTTGTGCTTTTTCTGCTTCTTTGTGCTTTTTGCTTTCACATCTTTCACTACATTCAGCTCATTTGACAGTTAAGCTTAGTTTCAGCTTACTTCAGCTATTCAACAACTTCAGCAATCAGTTACCAAATTTAGCATATAATGCTAATTTCACAGTTCAGCTAAATGTAAAGATTAAACTGTTAAACTTGTCCAACTGAAATAACAGGTGTTTAGACATTTAAGCTGTCCAGATTTTTAAATAATGTTCACAGATTTAAGTTTTATTTTTTATTTTTTTGCTATTTAGCATTATTTTTCTCTATTCTTCACTTACTTTTTGTGCTTTATTTGCTTGTTGGTGCTTTTTGCTTCTACATCTTTCAAGACATTCAGCTCATTTTGACAGTTTTGCTTTGTTTCAGCTTCAGTTAAGCTGTTCAGCAGCTTCAGTACAGTTGTTCAGCAGCTTCAGCTTACAGTTTCAGCTATCCAGCATTCAAACAGCATTTGTGCAATAAATGCAATTTTTCTAGTTTACAGTTGTGTACTTTACAGTACATTAAATTCGATTAAAGCAAAAAATAAAAAATAAAAACAAGAACAAAAAAACAACAAACAATACTTTTTTCACCCATTGCAAAACTTGGCTCATTG